GAAAATATATAAAAAATTGATATAAAAAATAACAAACATACATATTTCATAATTTAATTAATTAAATTATACAATTTTATTTCAAATAAGTATTAAAAAGTATAAAAATATTTTCATAATAATTTTATATTATGATTTGTAAGTTGTGAGTAAACTTTAAAAAAATAGAAAATTATATTTAGTACAAGATATCTTTTTTTCTAATTTTAATGTAGGGGATAAATTGCTTAGGCCTTTAAAAACGTAACAATGGAAAATTGAAGACATAGTTTGTATAAAATACCGATGCTTTATTCTCAATCGATTGCGATGCCACGAGTACGCTTAAGGTATGTACACAGACGTCGGACCATTTTACATAGTACAATTCTCATCTATGCATTAAAAGAAGTAGTTTACGTGCTAACTTTAAAAATAACGCAATTATTATATGTCTCGTTTTCCTTTGATTCGGTAAAAAATACGGCAGTTTAGATACAACAAGTGTATTCGATGAATATTTCGGGCGAAGTGTGATTTGAGGTATATCAGTGGTACTCTCTATTGCGCTATTAATAATTAAAAAAAAAAAACGAACAGGAGACAAACAAAAAAACCATTCAACACTTGGTGAACCAGTGAACAAGTTTCGTGAAGATGTATGGAGAAAATATACATGTATCTAACCGAGTTGTGTATGTGTATTTATGTCTACGCTGTTTCATTATAAATGTAAGACGAATCACCGATCATGAAGTATGATTTCCATGCATGATTTATGCAAATACATACCACACACACGCATAGAAATTATACTTCTTTAGAGAAGCTCGACTTCCGAGTCCTTTTTCGAGCGATCTTCTCGTCTTTATAAAAAAAAAAGAAAACTTAATCTGCTGGTTTACTATCGCTTTTATTTACATCGAGCTCTATACTTAAATTTTTTTCTCCTTTTGCTTCTTTCCTTATAGTTCTCCGTCATCGATTTTAACTCTTCGAGTTTATCGCTAATCTCGTCAGCTTTTCTCAAGGAAGGCAATATCATTTATATAAAAATTATTTCGTGCAATTATTATATCAAATTTATTTCTCACAACTGTTAAAAATAACAGATCTTGTCTAATTGAGTAAAAGTTAATGAGATTAGTCGATAGAGATAATATGGATTACAGAATGGTTCCATAGCTCGATTTCTTTTTCTTCAGCGTTACCGCTTCTATATACATATCGTTGCTTAAACGCTAAATACATACATCTCGTTGCTTAAACTCTAAACACGCGCATCACGTTCGCGTCCCGCATCTTTCATCTCCATTCAGGCAACGTCATCCTCTCTAGTTAGGAACCTACGACATATTACGCGGGATTACATTTTGGCTCGAGCGAAACTCGATGCGTAATAACAAATCAACGTGTACAGCGAATATATCGTTTCTTAGTACTCTTAATATTATATTAGTTACATATATATATACATATACGAACGTAATAAGATGAATAAAACACTGTCCCAATGTTCTCTTAAATATACAATTCTATAGTTATCCTCAATTAGAAATTTGGATTTATTCCGCGATATTGAAGAATTTTTTATTTAACAAAAGTAAATTCTCTCTTGTATAAAAAGTTCAAAGTTAATGCGATTTTACTTCTTCTTCTCGCGCGATTATATAATCTTATTATATGTGTATATATTTAAATTATTCTTTTCAAGCCACAAAATATAATTCTTTAACCATGAAAACAAATAGTGAAATAACGCAAAATCTTCTATCTTTATACTTTATCAAATATTCTGCAAGAACGTTGTTTTCTCAATCTATAAAAAACTTACTTGGAATACCCCTGCTTTAAATTGGATTATTTTTTCTTGATTTGATGATTTTACAGTGGAGATTCTGTCGAATTTTCTTGTTAAGTTGGGACTGAATAATCGCGCTCATTAATAACGATGCTAATTCAGTGATGATTAAATTCAGAGAAAACTATGCATCGTCGATAATGTTTGACGGTACTCATGCGTCGAATACCAAAAATAAAAAGAAGAAACAGGCGAAGAAAAGGAAAAATAAAAAAGGAAAAAGAAGATCAGCTGCGCAAATCTTCCGCGATATCTTTGTATTACTCGACTCCGGTTACATTGTACTAGGATTTGGTTAAATTGACGTTATGCAACTAACTAGTTTCCGTTTTGTGGCACATTGGGCACTCTCTTTGTCCCCCAATCCCGACGGAATTCACTCATAAACTCCAGCGATCTCTATATAGTCTCTGATATTTTCACCCTTAAATTCTCACACGCTTTCGGATAACTGATCTTGCGAGTCATCTGGAAATTATTGGCGTGACATAACATGGATCTTGCTGTCCATGTTTCGTATCTTTGCTCAGGCCGACTTGACGAATTCGACCAGCAAGGAGACTCTACAGCTACGCGATATACAATTCTTTATACCGATACAATAGTACCTTTCTTTCCTGCATTTCCTACTCGAGTCGATTCTGACTTTCGCATACAAGGGTCCTCGGAACTGCACGCAAACGTAGCATAGATAGGATAAGACAGAACAAATTTTGTCCATACGAAACCGAGCGATCTCAAAAATCGAGAGACGAAACGATCCGTTTCCGAATTCTCGCTCGCCAGAGTATTCGCAGGCACAGAACGATGAAAGTTCCTGTTCAATCTTGTTCCTGTGAGACTCTTGTTAAGTACTAGCAATCGCAATTTACTTTTTGGACGTCGGACGCACGACAATCGCATATTAATTTCACCATGTCGTTCGAAACGAAACGTCTAAAAACCGTAGGAAGCATCGCCGCGACGGTATCACGCGATCGGAACGCTCTATCATGTAAAAATAATTCGATAATTAAACAATCGCGCGATATCGTTCGAGTGAAGTTATTATCTTTTTTACAGAAGTACTTGAAGAATCGCGCAATCTTCTAAATACGATATACAGTCGACGTAGCGAGGAAATTATCGATTTGGATTTCTCTTCATCGTAGTTTCCAATGAAATTCTTCCGGGACGATTATCAAGTCAAGTTGTACCGTTCGTTTTTCTAAATATCGTTCGCATCTTTTCGTTTATTATCGTTTCACATTTTTTTCTTTTTTTTTCTCTTAAATGTACGCGTAAACTCTTAATCGTACAGCCTATATATACGTATATACAGCCGTCCAACATGTCCGCGACGGACATCTCTGAGATATGTACCACGGATTATTATTATTATTATTATATTATTATTACTATTATTATCATATATCGACGACACTCGAAAGGGGGAGGAATCAATTTCTTTTTTTGGTTTTTCGCTCATTGTTTCTTTTTACTATACTTCTTTTTTCTTCATTTTATTTTACTCTCACCCCTTTTGCACACACGCGCACACACATTATACACAGCAGTAACGATGACACACGCACACACTTTGCTAATTCTTACATTTTGCATTATGTTACGTACACTCGGGGGGAGGGGGCGCAACCCTTGTTAGGAACCGAGCGGGATAAGCGAACGGTCGCGCCGTAATTCTTCGGGCGTAAAGGCTCGCGCCGCTCAACATTTGGATAAATCTTAGTCGGAGTGTGTGAAACTCTACAAAACTAGAAGCAGTCGGACCGTATCGTGCGATGAAAAAATTCGGAAGGACAACCTGTTTCGCGTTGTAGATCACAGACTTTGTTCATTTCCCATTAGTTTCCTTAGGAAGCGAATACTTTTGCCTTAAAAAAATATTTGCACGTATTCGTTTCTAGTAGAAGTATATTCGCGTGTATAATCTATATATACTCATATTTCCTCCTAGAAGCTTTCGATAAAAGTAGAAGGAACAAAGCAGTACTCCCGATCGCCAGATAATTTCTAAGAAGAGTCATACTTCTGCTGAGTAAATTGTATTAGAATTTCTTAGATCATTTATTTAATTTAAATTAAACGTCATATGATTCGAATATCGCAAGCAATACGGTCCAATTAGTTCTTCTTTTCTATCGATTGTTAACTTTCATTTTTCCGCTTTTATCGTGCATTCTCTTTGTGTTTCTCTCCCTTTCTTTTTCATCAGTTTTACATGTGTATATATAGATATATATATATATATATATATATATTATTCTTTCGTATATAATATATATATTCTATTTATTCGTACGCATACCTATTATATGTAACAAACGCTAAATGACTCTGGATATGACTAAGTGAATTTTTTTCATTTTAATGTTCCGCACGTGGAGAGGGCGAGTTTCCCCTCCTACTTATATCATCCCTTTCGTCTTTTTTCGGTAGTTTCTTGTCGCCTAAAAGTTAAGTGTATATTCCTATTACAAAATTATAGATGCGTAAAGCGTATTGCATTGCCTTCCCCCAAACAGCACGCCTTCCTGATTTTTGCGTTTTTCTTTCTTTCCTTCTTTTTTCTTTTACGGGTGACACACGTACGGATCAGCACGGATTCAGACACAAATGGGTCCCTTTCGCCCAGTGGTCATCAGCCCTTCACATTTCTTTTTCATCATCTCGAGAGCATTCTTTAATCACGGTTTAATTCTTTTTCGTCTTTCTTATGCTTAGTATGTCAAATATTAATCTCGCGATCAAAATGTGCGTTTATTCAATTGCTATCCGAATTGCTCGAATTACGTCGATTGAAAATTAATTAGAAAATCGGCGACTTTATTATTTTTCGACTTGCCGACTTGGCATTTGCAAATCTCACAAAGTTGAAGCAACTTCAGAAAATAAATCTTTTAAAATACAATTAAAACATGAGATATATCAGCCGATAAATGCAAATGTTAAATAAATATATAATACACAAGACATACAGCCGAACGTAATTATGAAAAAAAAAACCAAAACTTCTTTGCTTCAACCGATCTGGTATCGTGCATATATAATCTTCGACATAAATTCAAGAACGTAAAAATTTTCTTTTGTATAAATATATCCTATCAATCGTACATCGAAATAAACCTCATGATTCAAAACGTTCTACGTATGCTCTTGGCTTATGATAATTCTCATCGCGGTTTTCAATCAAACGCAACATTAACGAGCAATCAGGTTCGATCTCGAGATTCTTCGGGAGGAGTTTCTCGTTCTGAACAATAGCCAGCCGATTCTGCGATATATTTTGTTTCTGGGGTATCCTGCCGCTCCTTCGCGATTCTCTTTCGCTTTTTCGCCGGCTGTCCATCGTCATCATCATTGTCATCATCCTCCTCCACCTCCTCCTCGCTGGAAGGTAACTTCTCCTCCTCGGCTGTCAGACTCACTGATGTGTCGGCCTCTACAGAGTGTCCCCCTATTGCGGTTTTCAAAAATGTACGTCTCTGACATCGGTCGGCGTGCCCGCCTTCTCGTGTTCCAATATTTTCTCTTGACTCGTGTTGTTCTGGTCCCCCAGCGGCCTCTGCGGTGCGCTCGAGACGGTACTCATTGTCTGATGCCCACTTCCGTTTCCGGAGCTCTCGGTGCTCACATGAGCAGCTTGTGCGATCATCTCCTCGATCTGTTGTAAGCAACCTTGCAAATAATCCTGAAACAAGGAAATGATTTCATGAAAATCGGGATCGGAATCTAATGCTCTTTGTCATTTATTTTTTCATTAATTTAGTAAACAAAATTCCATTTAGAAATTACGCGCCTTTCACTCTAAATATTTTTATACTTTAGAAAATTTGAAAAACGGTATAACCAAATAATAATTTTATTCTATTTTGTCATAGATATTTTTCTAGATATTCCGAAAACATTTTTACATAAAAATATTATTATTTTTCAATAATAAAATTAAAAACATTACTGCGTTAAGTCTGTTCTTTTTCCTTAAATTTATCTTTCTTTTATATGTTGAAACATAAATCGTATCGTATTATAGTATTTTTTTTTAAAGAGTCAAGCCATTGTTCATTGGACTAACTCGGATTTAAAGCTTGAGTTAGAGTTTTAAAAGCAATGTCTTTCGTAACATGCAGTCTGTAGCCCGAGGTCATGAATGAAAATCCAAGAAGGCCGGATTCCGTCTTGAGGATATCTTCCTGACTCTCGGGATTCAAACATGCAGTCGCTGAAAATATTGCATTTACGGGTCACAGACCCCATGCTGAGACTCATTCATTCGCGCGGTTTATTTGTACTAGGTATACATATAGAGAAAGAAAGGAAGAAAGGGGAGAAAAGAGAAAGAGCAAAGGGAAAAGAGAAGGCAAAAGGAAAAGAGCCGGAACGGCGACCTCGTCACCGCTGTCTTCGACGGCGCGCATACGGGGCCCGCAGCAGACGCACTCCGGACCCCCCCCTTTTTTTTCTCTCCCCGCGCGCGCGAACATATGCCCGGCACCTGCTGCACCCTTCCCGCGCACTTCCCGTCGCGCTTTTTGCGCCCCGCGAGATCTGTCTCAGCCACGAGTCCAGACTTGCGAAGGGCAAGTTTCTTGCCGAGTTCGCTTCTCCCCAGAACGGAACGCCAGACATCGGCGGCGCGCATCGCGACCGATGGCGGGGTCCTTCCCCCGTGAACTTGGGAAACTCGAAGATATTATCACCGAGAGACGTGTGTCGCGTTCGTTTTGAGGCGAGAGAGCGTGGATGGACCTTCATTTTTTTTTTATTTCTTAGTCACACTTTTACTCGATTTTTTGATATCTTCATCATTTTTTTTTTTATACAGCAAAGCCCATGTTTTTGATACGCACGTTACTCACCTGTTCGATAGCCGTAATGCGGGTGAGCTCATCCAGGAGACCGGCTAGTCCATAGTCGCTCTTCCCGGTCCAATTCAATCCGTGTAACGCCGCCGCTACGCTCGCGGCCGCAATCATGCTTGGCGTGTACATGGAGAACTTGTACTCTGCAAAAAACAAAGTTGTATACTTAAAGACGTGCTGAGAGATGACGCATATTGTATCACCGAACATCCTTTATACATTTCCATTTTTTTCATATGCAGGTAATACCGTTTCACTTTTGCGATAGACGAAGGAATATATTGTTATGGAAGATAACAATATGCGGTACGACTATATAGTGTGAAATTGAATTTGGAAAGAAATGAGTACCTGAAAAAGAGAGAAAAGGGAAAGAGAAAGAATTTTTTGTGCTAATATTTAAATAGCGACCAAGAAGAAATATTGTACTAATACATCTCTCTTGTGTCAACATTCATCGACTTTTGAGACATCTTCTTTAAGGATAATTTTTTCTCATGAGCATTTATCTCCTCTAAGTACATCCCTTCATTATTTACCCCAATTACGGTTGATAAACAATCATAAAGAGGAGAAGACCACTTTCGTGGAGATTCTCAGATAGTTGTCGAAATTATGAGACAGATTTATGGTAGGCGAGAACGCGGGCGAAACCTGGGGCACGTGGTGGCCTCTTTGTTCAGCGGGACGTCACTTTCGTTTCTTCAGGAAGAAAGTTCTAACATTTCAACACAAACGATCCTCAGATCTTAGATGGGATATTGTTAACATCTGAGTAGGGAAGGATCTTTTTGACCACCGTTTTAACGGTATCCTGTGAGTTTCATAGCCAAAAGCCGGTGCGTTCTTAATGTTTCTGAAGTCCGCGTTGCGGATGCGAGACAATCGTGATTATATATCTAGGTTGGATTCAAAAACACTGAATGTAACATTTTATCCCTGTTGTTCATCAAATATTAAACAAGAATAAAATGAGAATATCATTCCTGAATGCATTCCTAATTGATGCTTCTCAGATCGAAGCATCGCAAGAGCGAGAGATTTCTAGATTAAAATCACAATTGAAATCACATTTGAACAATCAATTTAAAATATTAATATTCAAAATTAAATAATTAAAGTATCATGTGACTAGATTAAATTAAGATATAATTGCTTATTAAAATTTACTTATTAAAATTCTTTAAAAAGATTCTTTAAAAAACTTTACGCAGAAATAAAAATTGTAATTTTGAAACATATTCTGTTTGTATTTGCATTTGTGCCTATAAATAAAATAAAATAAAATTGGGATGCTGCTAATTTTATATAATGCTTGTAAATTTTTTTAAAAATAATTCAAAAAAAAAAAAACGTTTGAGTAATAATGACCTAGCTATCTAAAATACTATACCGTGTGGTCATACTTATAATTATTACGTAAAGCCCATTGCCCATTGCCCTATCGATGATTAACTAGTGAGCTTTTATAAGTATTCTTATTCTATTACCATCTCAGAATTGACTATATACTGATTTTATATTATAAATTTAAATATATAATTATAATCCTGTCGCTAAAGAATAATTCTACCAAAGTTAGAGAAAAATTGTTGAAAGCGCTCGATGATAAATTTATTACATTTAATGTTGAAAGGGCACGAATGTTTGGCAAGCTTACATAAAATAATCTATACGTTAGATAAACCTATATAGAAGAAGAAACATGACACACACACCACACACACACACACACACACACACACACACACACACACACACACACACACACACACACACACACACACACACACACACA